CAATTGGTAAAAAGACGATTTGGGATGAGAGGATCTCATCTGGTGATCTTGTTGCAATCATTGTGCCGTAAAGCTAATTCATGATTAAATTACTGTTTAAATGATGTGCAGAATAAACTCCAGTTGAGTGAACATTTTTCCAATGAGTCTACTTTGGACTAAATTTTGTAGGTTGGTTATCAAGTCCCAGCAACTTCCTGGGTTTTACGCACTACACTGAATGGTGAAGAACTTCCAAAAACATGGTAAATATAAATAGTAACTCCAAGCACCATGAGAACATCAGTGAATTGTAGTGGTCATGGTGCCTGTAGTCTGTGTGTGCAGCATTTTGCTATGACATGATGCACATTTTTTATTTAATCCTCCTGCTGCCAGAGGTGTAATTCCGGCAGAGTCATTACAATTTCTGGCTGGCTAGTGTTAATTCTCTGTAAATTTTATTACATGGAATGTCAGTCATTATCTAAGTGCTGTCAGATGACACTCTTAACCAATGAATGGCGACGGCTGCAGCTTCTACAGTTGTGCAACAGCAGGAAGTGCGTCACCAGACCACCAGGGTGCCTTGGAGCCCAGGGGGACCCATGTAAAGAGACAAACTGGTGCTAAATTGGTTGCCCCGTTACCGGAATACTGGGCCAGGGTACTCCTGGGATCATAATGAATAACCACTATCGATTTTTCCAATTCAGCTATACTTCCATTATAACTTTTTTTGGCCTAAATTTGCAGTTATCAGTTCTCCACAATTCTGAGTAAAGTGAACAAACTGTTCTTCTCTTGATATATATCCTCATATGTGTTTTGCTAACTAATACTACGAAGGTCTACAGGGACAAATCACTGCTTTTTCATTGCGTTCTTATGAAAGTATGTGGAGAGATACAACACATCTGAGACGTGTCCACATCACACTAAATTCACCAGAGCCATAACTTGTTTTCATGTTTATGTCACATTAAATTATTTCCATCCCGCAACTGCTGTCATTAAAAATGACATATAAAAGATCCACACATTAAGGACAATAGGCGAGAACAATAGTGATTTAGGACTCTGAGCCTTAAAGGTAAGATTAGAGCCCTCGGCATGAATAATCTCATTAATTCTTCTCAGATGTTTCAATTCTGCTTCCAACTGCAACAAGACCACACAGCCAAGAGCTTGGGAACGTACGTGCTGCTACTCCAAGTACAACGCTTAAACTAATAAGGAAAATTAATATCAGTTATAGGAACGTGTCATTAGCACCTGTGCTGAAATTCATTCAGCAGAAAAGACTTTAACCCTTTTCACGCATCAAGTTCTCTGCTGGACACTAAGAGGATTACATTTTCTCACTGATCTGCTTTGTTTAATGATCCGTAGGGGAAACGTTTTTTTTTTTTGCTTTTGTGATGCTAATAAAACTATAAGGCCTGTTTACTAAAAGTTGTAATTTAGTGTAAGGCTGAAGGATATTCAGCATGGCTGTGCCATGCTACGAGATATATTCAACACTGCTGGGTAGCATGCACACCTAACCTTTTTGATGTTGTAAACTACAACTCCCATGATGCTAAGTCAGCCAACAGGCTCGCCAAGAGAATGTCAAAGATTAGCTGTTATTGGCCTGGGGAGACCGTGGCCTCGATTTTAATATTTTTGGATAAGCTTTTAAAAAGTTGTTTGTTCACATATATATATTTATTACGAAATATACCATATTTAAAGAAAATATCAATTTGATCCAAAAATATTAAATAATTTGAAAGTGTAAGGCTCATATTGCCCATTTCATTTGTAACACTTTTAAAGGAAGCAGGGTTCATGGCTTTGCTATCTCACATGAAGATGGCAGGGATCTTATTTACTAAGAGAGGGATTGTGGTGACTGATGAATCAGAAATCAAATTTTCTCAATTTCAGTCAAAAGAGATTAGCTGGAAAAACCTGTAACTTATTCTAAAATAAATTCTACATTCATTGCTAACTAGATTTTCTTGATTATAGCCCTGAAATATGCATTTTTAAACTTTCTGTGAATAAATAATGTGATTACCCTTAAAGTGTGCCTGTCATGTCTATTAGCAAATGCATGGATAATTTGACCTTCCTGGTAAAGAGAGCATCTAAGAGTGCTGTGAACGGCTATTGAAGTAGCAAACCCATCTTCAGATTAGGACACCCTGTTTGGGATTTTAACACCCCCTGCCCCCGACACACACTCGCATCCTAGAGATTGATGGACTAATGAGGAAAATTAGAGCGCTAGTAATTAAGAGCACTAAGACAAAAATACAGAAGTCCTCATTTAGAAAGCATTGTAAGGAAATACTATAATACTCTACATGGCAAAAATTATAAACCTCCATAGGAACGCTGCAGAGGAAGCTAATAGAAGCGACTTAATGATAATTTCACCCAAACTGTTCCAACTTTAGTTTATAACCTGCTGATTATTACCATAGGTGGCGCACAGGGATCTGCCAGGTGATCATAGGTACACCCTAATGCAGCTGGAGAGCCGGCTCTTAGAGTCGCCCCAACAGCAGCACAATAGGAAAATAAAAATATCAATCATTGCTATGAGGCAGCCTGTGGAAACCACCCTGGGCAAGTGCAATTTCTTTTAAATGCTTCCTCATGGTTCAGGACGGGCAGTGATCTTACTTGTCAGTCTTCTCTGTCCACTAAATTATAATTTGTTTTTATGTAGTTTGTTTTATTGTAAATTGTGGGAAGGCTGAAACAAACACGGCCTACCTACACTCACACACTCATCTACCCACACACAGACACACACTTATGACTACTGCACACAGTCACACACCTCACTCACAGTTACCTAAACACCTCACTCACAGCTACCTAAACACCGCACTCACAGCTACCCACACACCTCACTCACAGCTACCTAAACACCTCACTCACAGCTACCCACACACCTCACTCACAGTTACCCACACACCTCACTCACAGCTACCCACATACCTCACTCACAGCTACCTAAACACCTCACTCACAGCTACCCACACACCTCACTCACAGCTACCCACACACCTCACTCACAGCTACCTAAACACATCACTCACAGCTACCCACACACCTCACTCACAGCTACCTAAACACCTCACTCACAGCTACTTAAACACCTCACTCACAGCTACCCAAACACCTCACTCACAGCTACCTAAACACCACACTCACAGCAACCCACACACCTCACTCACAGCTACCTAAACACCTCACTCACAGCTACTTAAACACCTCACTCACAGCTACCCAAACACCTCACTCACAGCTACCTAAACACCTCACTCACAGCTACTTAAACACCACACTCACAGATAACCACACACCTCACTCACAGCTACCCACACACCTCACTCACAGCTACCTAAACACCTCACTCACAGCTACCCACACACTTCACTCACAGCTACCTAAACTCCTCACTCACAGCTAGCCACACACTTCACTCACAGCTACCTAAACACCTCACTAACAGCTACCCACACACTTCACTCACATCTAATTAAACACCTCACTCACAGCTACCTAAACACCGCACTCACAGCTACCCACACACCTCACTCACAGCTACCTAAACACCTCACTCACAGCTACCCACACACCACACTCACAGATACCCACACACCTCACTCACAGCTACCCACACACTTCACTCACAGCTACCTAAACACCTAACTTACAGCTACGCACACACTTTACTCACAGGTACCCACACACCTCACTCACAGCTACCTAAACACATCACTCACAGCTACCTAAACATCTAACTCACAGCTACCCACACACCTCACTCACAGCTACCTAAACACCTCACTAACAGCTACCCACACACCTTACTCACAGCTACCTAAACACATCACTCACAGCTACCTAAACACTTAACTCACAGCTACCCACACCTCACTCACAGCTAACACAAAGCAACCACAGTAGCACACATGACCCACACCTCCTACACACATGCAGTCAAAGATACAAAACCCCAATACACACATATCGCAGAGCTAAAACACTAACAGTTACCCTGCATCTAAACAACACACATACTCTAATAAATAACCATGTTGTGTAAAACTAAATAATAACAGAGGAAAAGAAATACTGAGTGCCTATCCTAATGAAATGGGCTAAGAACACCTATGACCATCATGCACACTCTGTCTGATCAATACCTATGCCCCACCCACATGCCTTTTAAATTATTTCTTTTGTACATTTTTAGAAGTTATGAGGGAATGCATGTGGTCATTAATTGCCTAGAAACAACAGACCTGTACAGAACTCTTTCTTGAACACAATTTGGGACCAGTTCACTATATAGCATGAGTGCATGCGAGTATTTTAAACATAATTGCAGAGTTGCTTGAACTCTTCTGCAGAGCACTGACAAGGTAAGTATTATTATTATTATATTATTATTATTACTGGTATTTATATAGCGCCAGCATATTCCGTAGCGCTTTACAATATTATCAAAAGAGGAGATTTAACAATAAATGAGACAATTACAAAAACTTACAGGGACAATAGGTTGAAGAGGGCCCTGCTCAAATGAGCTTATAGTCTTAAATATTTTCAGTAATACTAGTAGATTTAGGAAACAATTGTCACGTCACTCAGCAATTTAGGCCGTAAAGTTACAATTCACTTGTCTATTCTCTATAAATATGGGATTAGTTAAAAATTCAATCTGGTTAGTGATTAAATACGTTTGTGTTCACTTCACATTTGCTAGCTTGCTACTTATTCTCGTGATGTTTTAACTCTTTGACTGACAAAGGTTGGGAAAATAATGTGAAAAACAAACTCTTGCAAAATAGAAGCTCATCTTTATCACTAGCGGTCCATTGCAAGGCAGCAGCGGTTTTACTTCCTAGTTCTCATCTTTACCCACAGAACTAGTGATGTCCCGAACGGTTCGCCGCGAACGGTTCGCCACGAACTCATATTGAGTAAACTTTGACCCTGTACCTCACAGTCAGCAGACACATTCCAGCCAATCAGCAGCAGACCCTCCCTCCCAGACCCTCCCACCTCCTGGACAGCATCCATTTTGTGAAGCTGCATTCTTAGTGAGCTGTCCAGGAGGTGGGAGGGTCTGGAAGGGAGGGTCTGCTGCTGATTGGCTGGAATGTGTCTGCTGACTGTGAGGTACAGGGTCAAAGTTTACTCAATATGAGTTCGCGGTGAACCGTTCGTGGTGAACCGTACGCGAACCGTTCGGCGAACCGTTCGGGACATCACTACACAGAACACATTCCGTATCCCCAGTAAGGCCATATGTTTTTGGAGAACTCACAAAAACAGCAAGACAGATCATATTTAACATTTTAGATGCCAACAGGTGAACAGATATGGTGATATAGCTGATCCGACACAGACATTTTCCAACACTTCTGCAATCCATAAAACTGTCTTAGTTGACTTACAACACAGGTATCATGTTATATACTGAAGACAAGGAAATCAGTGCTAAATCCACCCTAGACATAAGTGGGGTAAAAAATGACATAATTGTTGAGCTATATAAAGTTACATGTCTTATATAATTGGAAACAATATCTCTGGGTGAAGACGATACCGTGCCAGTTTATGGTTTGGGTCTGTGCACAATGCATGTGAGCAAAGAATTCTGTGTAACTATGTTACAGGCAGAAAGTGTTCTTTGCTTCTGTTAAGTGGAGTTCATTACAATCGCAGCTACAGGCTGCACTCAGCAGATGTCTTGAGCAGAACTCACAAGGGAAAATATGAAGCTGCCTGTTTAGAGGTCACATTGAAAGAATCTGCGATTTCAAGTCAGATTTTAAATCTGCTGGAAATATTGCCGATGACATGCAGTGTTTACATCTAGACTGTGGTCAAATTAACACCTTCAATGCCAGTGTTTAGACTGGCGCGCTGTAACGTACAGTCTCAAAAATTTACACTAAATTCCCGATGTTGGGAGTAACTCTTGTTTATTGATATGTATCTGGTGTGACTGGCATTAGCGATTAAATATCCATCAAACTTGAATTCAGCGTAATTTTTTTTTTTTTAAAAAGGTAATTTTTGGAGTTTATTATCGCAACAGTTAGTTGTTATGCTTTGAAAACTGGTTACAACAATGAAGCTTGGAGACAGGAAAAAAATAAAAATATAAGGAAAAAAATCTTGAGTTCAGCAGTTTTATTACCAGCTATATTTACACACACAAGATGTTTAACTAAAGTGAGAATTCAAACTGGCGTAGGCCAAAATAATGGAATTGGATACATCATTTAAGTCAGCTATGCTATTTCCACTACTTAATTTTGAAACTTAAAGGATCACTATAGGGTCAGAAACACAAACATGTTCCTGACCCTCTAGTGTAAAAACAACTATCTAGCCCCCCTGGGTCCCACATGCCTCCATAAATATAGCAAAATCTTACTTGTATTCAAGCCTGAAGCTGTAACTCTGCATGCTGTTAGACTCAGAAAAAACAAGCAGTCTGCTGAAATCCAATCACAATGCTTCACCATAGGATTGGCTGAGACTGACAAAGAGGCAGATCAGGGGCAGAGCCAGCATGATTCAAACACAGCCCTGGCCAATCAGCATCTTCTCATAGAGATGAATAGAATAAATGAATCTCTATGAGGAAGGTTCAGTGTCTGCATGCAGAGGGAGGAGATACTGAATGTTTGGATGCATTTTAGGCAGCCATGACCCAGGAAGGATCTCTAACAGCCATCTGAGGAGTGGCCAGTAAAGTTATCACTAGGATGTAATGTAAACACTGCATTTTCTCTGAAAAGACAGTGTTTACAGCTGTTTAAAAAGCCTGGAGGTAATGATTCTATTCACCAGAACAAATTCAATAAGCTGTAGTTGTTCTGGTGACTATAGTGTCCCTTTAATTACATTCACCGGAGCTCACTCTTTAGTAAACAAACCCCAGAGAAACTAGTTTTTTTGCAGGAATTATTAGATCATGCAAGCAGAGTATTCCTTCTGCAGCATTTTTTAGTATGTCTCCTGGCAGAGGTGACCCCAGGACAACCTATAAATTGCAGAAATGAATTTCGTGCCCCTCCCCACCCCCATTCCCAAAATCCTGTATGTGGGGTGTCCAGTCTCTTGGTGAATTAGCTCAAGTTTCTCTCATTTGTTCTCACTGTAGACATTCTACTGGCAGCTTGCCAGCACAGACTTCTAGAAAATCTTTGATTCATAATGAGATTTTCATTCGTTGTACAACTGATCAATATAAAATGTCCCAAAACATTTTACCAGGATGTGATGCCACTGAGATTTACAATGTTCTGACCAAGGAGTTGAGTTTGTGAGTGTAATATCCCAATTCATACCTTTCCACTTATTGAAGTATCATTTTTTTATGTATGATACTTTTTTTTATTTACACTTTTTTTTAAATTAACTTCCAACAGTTGGGCGAACATTTTGTTATATTTATTTTCTGTATATTTTACCTTTCTAACGCACTAAACATTTACAGAATTTACAATCTGCATGTTTGGTTGGGGAACAGTGAATATAGTTTGCACCTAACTACTTATAGTAAGATTCGATTTTGTTTATTGTATGTTTTGTTGTTTTGTTGTTTTCTTTCTTTTTGCTATTATTCAAGAAAATCCTGTGTTTACCCCTTTTCCTTTAAAATATGTCAACAACTTTGTCACTCCATAATCTGCTAAACAACTCGAGGGCAGTAAAAAAGGGTTAATAAACAACACATCTATCCCTGAAGCATAAAATCCTTTGAGGCAGCTTTGCAACCTGCAGCTCACAAAAACATATTAATCTATTGGGACATATAATAACATTTCACACATATGGCAGAGTATTTCTTTGTAAGCAGATTTGAAAATTAAATTGCTTTTTGAGTTGTAGACAGGAGCTGTTAATAAAATATTGGAAGGAAAGATTTTTCACTTGCATACAAAGCCTATATTCACTTAATGCAGATGTTTAGCTGATCCCTATAATTGACTATTAAAGCTTATATTCAGCTTGATTTTGTAATGGGCAAATACACCGGCGTAAGTCCAGCTCTAACTTGCAGCCACAATCCTACCTCAATTTGCAGAGGTATGCAATACCCCTTTTCGAATGCTGATTTTAGAATGGAAACAGCCCAAACTCACGTAAGTTTTGTCTGGGTGTAAGTGCTGTAAAACCTCACTGACAGCTGTGTTCTCAAAGGGAAATACATAGTACAAAGTCTATTAACCCCTTCACTATCTAGTTATTCAATAAAACAATTCTAGACTGTGTATTCAAAGGATTGGGAGACAAGTAGCTAAGTCTACCGCTGACCACATTTTTACTGGCCACTACCCATTAAAAAGATAGATAGATAGATAGATAGATAGATAGATAGATAGATAGATCGATAGACAAATAGATAGACAGATAGATAGATAACCAAACCCCTAAGGCACTCAAGCTTTAGGTGTCCTCTATTTTCATTTTACAAAAAAAGTACAGATTTCAATAGAAATTGCCACTATTATAAATTAACCTTGTTACACCTCCTGACTGTCAATCAGGCAACAGGTCCTATTACTTCCTGGTAGTTTAGCTGAGGCTTCTCATTGTGCTGCATTGGGAAGTCTGTGATTGGACAGCCACAGAAAGTCTGGGTGGGGTTAGAAAGAGAGGGTTTGAAAAGGCTGCAGACGAGATCTGCAACTTTTGCAAGCTGTTTTTCGATATACCTCCAATGAAAAAGATGAATATTTAGATGCATGTTTTCATTGGACCTATATCTATTTTATAGGGATTTCTAATGTTGTGTTTGTATTTGGGTAGTGGAGTCACCCTTTAACTGCATTTGGTATCATCATGCTGTGCATGAAGCCTATCAATAATCAAGTCTAAAACGTGAGTCTCTCTAGTGGTTGTCTGTCTAACAACCACTAGAGGTGTGTTTTTACCCAAATGTAAAGATTTATTTTTCTTAGGAAAAGGCACAGCATCTATTCACCAAAACCACTACAATACTATGTAAAGATTATTGTGCTTAAAGTGTCTCATTAAGACAAATTCTCCAGCTTGGCTTTAGTCATAGCATGGATATTTTTGCTTTAATTTTGTAATTTGATTTTGAGTGAATTACAATAACACTACTAAGTGAATAAGCCCTAAATTTTTAGGTTTTATTATTGTTGTTATTTGTTTTAGATAACTCAGTGAATTGAATGTAAACACTATAGTATGAAAGCATTGTTATGGCTGACTTTATAAAATCTTGGTACAGAGTACAATAGCTTGCATATAACACTGACCTGAGAAAGGGGACATTCTTTGGCAAGGGTACTCTGGTTCATCTCCTTTAGCAGCATCCGTAACGCATTCCGGACTGTAGCGTGATTCCACTGTTCAGCCGGTAGATCTTCAAGCTTCGAACAACTGCAAATTATGCGCATGTTACAGACAATATATTGAAGATTGAGTGCTAGATTATATGTTATAAATTAAGCATCTCACTGGTGGCCGAACAGCTATTTTCCAATAAATGTCAATAGAATAAATGCTATTATCTTAACAAAACTTATCTTTATCTCTTGTAATAGAATCTCACCCTGAGTCTGTATTCATAATAGCTTTAAATTATTATTATTATCACTACTGTTATTTCTACAAAGCTCTGAGCGTGTCTATTAACTGAACAATTCAGTGGATTCTAGGATTCTATGAACACAGACAAACAACTCTGCTCATAGAACAGACTATTCTATTGCTGTATCTCGTCTAATAGAATCTAACCTATAACCTTTACATTTGACCTGAAAATGTATGTCAGCTATTTGATAAACAAAGCATCGGTGTTGTGTGAGGACTGCAACTAAAAGCTGGAAGTTCAGTATGTGTGATTGTGTATATGTATACACACACTCATATAAGAATAAAAAGATAATAATAACAACGGCATTAATAATACTGTCAAATTATTTACCATGGGGGATACAGTAATCTCTTTTTTCCCATGTACTTCTAGACTAAATAAGGATGTTACTAATTTTCCTTTTAAATGTTTTACATTTAAACAATGCTTGAAATAATTTGATATGGATCTACAAAAATATCTGCCCACCTCTGTAACTGGATCTTTAGGGTCACCACATGATAGACATCTTGTAACATGTCA